ACTTACTCACCGGCAAATACACATTGTCTCTCTCTTTCTTTTTCTTTCTCTCAAAATAAATGAAAAAACTTAAAGAAAAGAAAATCAGAAAGGAAGAGGTGATATACCACTAACAAAAGGTAGGAAAGAAGAATTATAAGGGGACATTATGAACACGTGTATGCCAATAAATTAGAAAACTTAGATTAAATGGACAAATTTTTGGAATGATACTAACGACCAAGCTGACTTAAGAAGAAACAGAAAATATGCATAAATTCTAACAATGAAGAGAATGAGGTACAGGCTTCTAGTTTCAGAATGAGTAAGTCACAGGGATGAAAGATGCAGCATAGAGAATACATTCAGTGGTCCTGTACTGGCATGTGTGGCAACAAATGGTAGCTATACTTCTGGTGAACCTAACATAATGTATAGAGTTGTTGAGTTACTATATTGTGCACCTGAAGCTAATGTAACATTGTATGTCAACTACACTGCAATAAAAACATACAAATAAGCAAATTAATTAATAAAGTTAGCAATCAACAAAGTATCAGCAAAATATAGCTCAAGATCAGCTGGCTTCCCTCATAAATTCTACCAAAAGGTTTAAGAATAATTATTAATTATTCAAGAATATTTCCGCAGTAGAGAAGCAAAGGGAAAACTTCCTAACTCATTCTATGAGACCACTACTAACTCAATACAAAAATCAAAGTCATCCCAGGATAGGGACAAATCTGTTTAAAAATATAAGAAACAATCAAGTATATACCATACTAATAGAGAAAGAGGGAAAACCAACATGATCATATCAATATATGGAAAATACTCAGTAAACTAGGAAAAGAAAGGAATTGCCTCAACCTATACAGGACATATATGAAACATACATAGCTAACACTGTATTTAATGGTAAACAATTGAAAGCTGTCCTTTTAAGATCAGGAATAAGACAAAAATGTCCTCTCTTGTCACTTCTATTCAACATTGCCCAGGAGGTTCTGGAAAGGACAATTAAGCAGAAAAAGAAATGAAAGGCATTTAGATTTTAAGAGAATGTTTACAACTAAGTCAATTTGCAGATGACATGATCTCACATATAGCACATTAAAGGGGGTCCACACAAAAATTATTTGAGCTAATAAATGAATTCAGCAATATTGCATAATAAAAGATCAATTACAGATAAATCAGTTTCATTGTATTTCTATACACTTACAATGAACAACCCAAAAATAAACTTAAGAAAACAATTCCACTGACCATAGTATTAGGAAGAATAAAGTACTTAGGAGTATACTTAACCACAAAAATAGAGAACTTGTACTTTGAAAACTACAAAACATTGTTGAAAGAAATTAATGGAAAGACTTCTTCTATTTACATTATTAGGCTTAATATAAAGATAGCAAATCATCTAAACTGATCTACAAATTAAATGAAGTATCTATCAAATTCCAAAACACTTTTTTATAGGAAGAGACAAGCAGATCGTAAAATTTACAAGAAGTTACAAAGAATACAAACTAGCCAAAATGATCTTGGGGAAAAAAAAAAAAAAAAAGAGGAATGCTTACACTTCCCAGTTTCAAGACCTACTATAAAGTTAAAGCAATCAAACCAGTGTAGTATTAGCATAAGGAGAGACACACCGATAAATAAAATAGAATTAGGTCCACAAACAATCCCATACATCTATAATTTATTGATTTTCAAAAAGGGTGCCAAGACCATTAAACGGAGAAAGAATAGTCTTTTCAACAAACAGTGTTGAGATAACTTGATATCAACATACAAAAGAAAAAAATTGTACCTGTACCTCACACCATATATAACAATTAGCTCCAGGGGCACCTGGGTGGCTCAGTCCCTCACTCTCTGTTCCTCCCCAGCTTGTATGCTCACTCGCTCACTTTCTCTCTCTTTCTCTCTCAAAAGAAATAAACATTTTTTTAAAAAAATTAACCCCAAATGGATCAAAGATCTAAATGTAAGAGCTAAAATTATAAAAATCTTAAAAGAAAATATAATGTAAATCTTCATGATTTTCAATTAGACAAGAGTTCCTTAGATATGATACCAAAGCATAAACAACCAATAGAAAAAACATATATTGGATAGCATCAAAATACAAAACCTATGTCCCTTAAAAATAACCATCAAGAAAGTGAAGAAACATTCTACAGAATAGGAGAAAATATTTAAGAATCATATCTTCAATAACCTAGAATATATAAATAACTCTAAAATTACTATTATATAAAAAATTAAAATGGGCAAAGTATTTGGGTAGATATTTTCCAAAGAAGATATACGAATGCTAATGAGCAAATGAAAAGAGCATCATTATTCATAGAGAAATGCAAATCAAACCCACAACGAGGGGCTCAGGTAGTCAGGTGTTAGACTCTCGATTTCAGCGCAGGTCATGATCTCAGGATTTATGAGATCAAGCCCTGTCTTGGGCTCTGCAATGACTGTGCAGAGGCTGCTTGGGATCCTCTCTCTCTGCCCTTCCCATACTCATACTCTATCTCTATCAAAAAATAAATAAAAAAACTTAAAAAAAAATAAAATGAGCTAACTCTTAATATCCACTAGGGTAGTAATAATCAAAATAATGGACAAAAACCAGTTTGGTGAGGATAAAATAATTAGAACCCACAAATATTGCTAATGGTCATGTAAAAAACTGGTACAATTTATCTCTAGAAAACAACCTGGCAATTCCTCAAAAGCCTAAATACAGATTTATCATAGGACAAAACATTACACCCCTACATATATACCAAAAAAATTAAAACATGTCTACATAAAATATTCACAGGAGCATTATTCATAATAGCAAAAGTATGAAAAGAGCCAAAGACCCATTGACTGATGAATGCATAAACATGTGGTATGCATAACTGAATATTATTCAGCCATAAATAGAAGCAAAAGACTAACAATATATGCTACCATATGAATGAACCTTAAAAACATTATGCTATGTCAGAGAAACCAGCTCAAACCCCAGGTATTGTATGACTGTCTTTAAATATTCAGAATAGACAAATTCATAGAGAAACAATGTATATTAGTCGTTTTCAAGTGCTAGTGGAAGGAAGAATAGGAAGTAACTATTAAAGTGTATGGGGTTTTGTTTTGGGGTAAATTATTCTGGAACTCTATGATGGTGATAGTTACACACCTACTGACTATACTACAAACCATTTAACATGATGGATTTCATGCCATATGAGTTATATTTTAAGAAATAAACATACAGGGGTACCTGGGTAGTTCAGTTGGTTAAGCATCCAACTCCAGCTCAGGTCATGCATGATCTCACAGTTTGTGAGTTCAAGTCCCACTCCAGGCTCTGTGCTAATGTACAACTCAGAGCCTGGAGCCTGCATCAAATTCTATATCTTCCTCTCTCTCTCCCCCTGCTCATGTTCTGTCTCTGTCTGTCTCTCAAAAATAAATAAATTTTAAAATATAATTTTTAAAAGAAACAAAAACATACCAAAAAATAGAACTAATTAGATGAGCTGAAAAATAACTGATACAAACTCTTCCCATGTATGTATGTACAAACTTCATAATATTACTTTATCCTTGCTCTCATCAAAAAAGTGGGATTTTTCTCACCTTTTCATCATGGATTCGCATCAAGACTTCCTCAAAATAACAGAATATAGAAGAAGTGATGGTGTATAAAATTCTAAGCTTAGGCCTCAAGAGACACATGTACTCTGCACTCTCCTTAGAATTCTAAGAACACCACGTATAGAAGCAGCCTATAAAACTGGAAAATGACAGGACAGCAGAAAAGAGTCAATCACAGCTGAGGACCCCTAGGTCAACCAGCCAAACCAGACTCCTAGCAATGTGAAGGCAACATTATGAAACCATCTGAAACAAATCAGGTGGCCAGATTACTGTAGTCACATTAAATACACACACACACACGCACGTGCACAAACACACACTCACGCACAACCAGAAGATACTGACAGAAGAAGTGCCTAGCAGAATTCAACAAGAAAATAAGAAGATGCAAAACCATGAATAAAAGTGCTTTCATACAGTGAGCTTGGGATATTATGTTAAATAGTAATAAATAACTGAAACACAAGTTGAACATAAAAATGTAAATATCTAAAGAAAGAATACATGAAATGCAGCACAGTTCAAAGGAGTGACAAGAATATAAAATACAGAGAACACATTAAGAAAAATTATGGACATAGTGAAAAAGTCTAACATAAGTAAAGCAAACTCTTAGAAATAGAAGACAGAGTGACACAATGAGACAGGTGGGAATATTTAAAGAGATAGTGGCAGAAAACTTTACAAAAATTATGGAAAAAATCCAGCTAAGGAATAAATAAACCATATAATTCACAATCACAATAAAAAATAAATACTTAGATACACCATATTAAAATTACTGATATTCAAAAACTAAGGAAAAAATCTATTTTAAAAAGACAGAAGTAGGAAAAAAAACATACTGTTTTCAAAAGGGAAACAATAAGACTAATAGAGGAATTCTTAAGGGATTCTTAGGAGAAAGAGTCAAAGAGAAAAGAAAATTACACTTTCAAATTATTGAAAAAAAATCTTCTGTCAACTCAGAATGCTATTTCCAATAAGAACATCCATCAAATATACAGACATGCAATTACACATTAAAAATGTTTTCAGGCATATGAAAACAAACATAATTTATAGCCACAATTGAGAAACATAGTATTTATAAATGTTAAATAAAGTCATAAAGCTAAAGAAGTATTACAGCAGAAGTAAATTCAGATCTAAGTGAAAAAAAGATCAGAGAAAATGAACACTACATGGGTAAGTAAAATAATTTTTTTCTTATTATTTTTTATAAGAAATGTCATCTGTTTAAAGCAAAAATAATGTACTGTGTGGTTAATAACAAATACAGAAGTAAAATATATGGCAATAATTATACAAAGGACAGAAAAAGAGCAAATGGAATTACACTATTGTAATATTCTTACCTTATACATGAAGTAGTATAATATTGATTCAAGGTAGACTGTGATAAGATAAAGATGACTATTACAATCACTACAGCAGTCACTAAAAAAAACACAAAAGAAGTATAGCTAAAAATCCGATAAAAGTGATAAAAGTGGACTTTAAAAACAATTAATTAATCCAAAAAAGGCAAAAGGAAAAACCAACAAAAGAAGAAAAAGTAAAGGAAAATTTCAAAACAAATACCATGATGGTAAGACTTAAGCTCAATTATACCAGTATTATATTAAATCTAATTGGACTAAATACTCTGATAAAGGCAGAGATTTTCAGAATACATTTAAAAAACAAAACAAAACAAAAAAGCAAGACCTGTATGTTGTTTACCCGGGATTCATTATTGTAAATAAAAACAGATTGATAGAAGACTTCCACTCCTGCCCATGAAGCATTAATCACACTAAGAATTGACCTCCAGTTGTAAACAACAAGAAAATGAAACAAGATATGAAACAACTACTTTCAAATAACAGGCAGCTTAAAAATGGCATCTGAGAAAAACAAAAACATGAGCCTATGACTCCCCTGGCTTGCTAGCTGGAGGCAGATTTAAAGATGCAGCCCAGGGAAGCAAACCCAAACAAAGCCCAAAGAGCTCATCTGGTGGAGAAAACAAAGATCAAACTTTGGGGAGGTCATGTGGTTAGAATTTGGGTGGCAAAATAGGAGAGAAAAGAGAGCTACACACTTCAATCTGCTGAGGGGTTTTCTTAAATTTTTGACTGAATAATGATTTCAGCACAGTGTGAAATTCCATGAAGCTAGAGAAAGAACCACCAGAAAACAGTAAGTCAAATAAAGCTAATAGCTCACATAGGACTGGAATAATGTGTATTCCAAATAGAGTGGAGAGGCCTCATAATACAAAGAGCACTTCCTAGATACCGAGAAAGACACTGTCTCTGTAGTGGAAATAAACTAGCATTGAACTTGGGTTTGCTATATAGAGGACCTTACAAAAACCTTAAACACAATTTTTGAACTGATCATACAGATCCTAAATAACATAACTGCATGCCAGAATAAAGTACAACACACCAAAAGAAATACAACAAAATCAAATAATAAAACTGTAAAAATTCAATTTCTAGAAAGAACACCATTAAAAATCACCAAGCCGAAACATGTGTTCCATGGTCAGAAAAAAAATTAATAGAACAAACAAGAAAACATCACGCACAATAGAGTGAGCAGAAAATGATTTTTAAACAGCTATTAAAATGGGGCGCCTGGGTGGCTTAGTCGGTTAAGCGTCCGACTTTCGCTTAGGTCATGATCTCGCGGTTCGTGGGTTCGAGCCCCGCGTCGGGCCCTGTGCTGACTGCCAGCTCAGAGCCTGGAGCCTGTTTCAGTCTGACTCCCTCTCTCTCTGACCCTCCCCTGCTCGCGCTGTCTCTCTCTCTCTCTCCTAGAAATAAATAAAACATTAAAAAAATTAAAAAAAAATAAATTAAAAAAATAAATAGCTATTAAAAGTGTATTTAATGTGCTCAAGAATATAGAAGAAAACATGACCATAAAAAAGGAGAGAAACTGAAAATATAAAAATGACAAACATAATTTAAAAGATGAAAAATAAATATGCAAAAAATAAATTCAATGAGAAAAAAATAATCTTTCAACAAATGCTGCTGGGACCCCTGGATAGACACATGCTAAAGAATTTAGTTGGATCCCTACCTCAAACCACACACAAAAATAAACTCAAAATGGTTCAAAAGCCTAAATGTAATAGCTAAAACTATTAAATTCTTAGAAGAAAATATAAGTGTAAATCTTTGGGATATTACATTTTGCATGGTTTCCCAGATATGACACCAAAGGCAAAAAAATATATAGAAAAAATAGACAGGACATCAACAAAATTTAAAATTTTGTGCAGCAAAGGACACTCTCAAGAAAATGAAAGGACAACTCACAGAGTAGAATGTTTGCAAATCAATCTTTGATAAGGGCACTACATGAAGAACTCTGACAGTTCAATAATAAAAAAGACAAATACCCCAATTAAACAATAAGCAAAGAACATTATGGACATTTCTCAAAAGAAACAGAAGTGGCCACTAGGCACATGAAAAGATGTTCAACATCATATCCCATTGCAATCCCCTCATTGCATATCAAAACTGCAACGAGATAGCACTTCACACCCACCAGGATAGTCATAATCAAAATGACGTGAAGTAACCAGTGTTGGCAAAGACATGGAGGAAATAGAATCCCTTGTCCACTGTTGTGTAAAATAATGCAGCAGCTTCGAAAGTCTGGTAGTTCCTCAAAAGGTTAGTTGTAGTCACTGTTCAACCCAAAGTAATTGTATCTAGTAAAGATATTCTATTCCCAAAGTAATGAAAATAGGTTCACAAGCAAATTTTTATACGAATGTTCAAAGAAGCATTATTTAAAAAGCCCCAAATTGTAAACACACAAATGTCCATCAAGTGATAATTAAATAAACAAACTTTGGTATATCCACAAAATATTATGCAGTTAATACAAAGAAATAAAATACTACATGCTACATGCTACAACATGGATAAATCTTGAAAACATGTCACATTATGGAACGGGAAAGAAACCAGTTACAAAAGACTACAATCATATGATTCAATTTATTTAAACTGCCCAAAATAGACAAATTCATAGATATAAAGATTAGTGGTTGCCTCCAACTGACAAGAGTCGATGAGGGTTTAACAGTCAGTGACTGATAATAATAAGGTTTCTTTTGAAGATGACAAAATTCCTTTTAAAGTGATTTGTGGCAATGACTGCATAACTCTGTGAATATACTAAAAAACAACTGAGTCATAAATACACTTTAAATGGAAAAACGGTACGGTATGGTGGATAATCTTAGGTGTCAATGAAGCTAGGTTACAGAACTCAGTATTTAATCACACTAATGGCTCCCTATTGAGTTTGGTAGGGACCTGTACATATGATGGAATAGTCATCAGTTTAATCTGATTAGGTTGTGATACATGGCACAGTTGACTTTAAGAAAGGAAAATCATCCTGGATGAACCCAATAAGAAGATCCCTTAAAAGGAACTGGCCTCTACTTGAAGAGATTAAAAGGGAGAGATACCATTTGAGCTTTTGAGACTCTACATTGTTAGTCTGGGAGATGAAGGAGGGTATGTGGGAAAGAATGTGAGCATTCATTAGAAGCTAAAGTGGTTACTAGCTGATAGCCAATGAAAAAACTGCCACTTCAGTTATACAACTGCAATGAACTGAATTTTGAGAAGTACCTGAGTGAAACTGGAAGCAAATTCTTCTCCATAACTTCCAAACAAAGACTCAGACTGACTGACACCTTGATTTCATCCTTCAAGACCTCAAGTAGAGAAGCCAGCCAGGCCAGGTCGACCACATGACATACAGAAGTGTGAGCTATAACTGGGTTATGTTTAAGTCTCTATGTTTGTGGTAATTTGTTATGTTGCAATAGAAAACTAATACACTCTCCAAAATAATGCAGTGAGAGAAAAAAAGAACAAACTGATATGGTGGCAGCTGCTTCTATCAAAGTAGAAAGTGGTAACCTACAATATTTTTTAAAATTAAAAGAAGAGCCTTGTCATACTGCTGAACCTTCATCCATTTTGAAAGTCTGTTATTAGGTGGTAATGTTTAGGAATGTCCTCTTGATGAATTCAACTTATTTATGTTTATGAAGTGATCTTTATTCTAGGTAATATTTTTTGCTCTAAAATCTTTTTGCCTCTGAGGCATCTAGGAAGTTCATTCAGTTAAGTGTTTGACTTCGGCCCAAGTCATGATCTCACCATCCGTGAGTTTGAGCCCCACGTAGGGCTCTGTGCCTACAGCTCGGACCCTAGAACCTGCTTTGGATTCTGTGTCTCCCTCTCTCTCTGCCCTGTCCCGGCTCACACTCTTTCTCTCTCAAAAATAAAATAAAAACATTTAAAAACTGTTTTCAATCTAGTTGTCTGATATTCTTATAGCCAACTCAGCTTCCTCTTGATTTGTGTTAGTACATTATATCAACTTCCACTCTTTTACTTTTAAAATAAATGTGTCTTTGTATTTTAAATACAAAATGAAACAACATAGCAAATATTTGGGTCTTGCTTTTTTAGATAATATGAAAATCCCAGCCTTTTTATTGAGGCAATGGATCATTTATATTTAGCATAATTACTAAAATGACTGAGGCTAAATCTATCATTTTGCCATTAGTTAACAATCTGTCCTATCCTGTACAGCTGTTTTTCTCTTGTTTTGCCTTCTTTTGGATTATTTCACCTACATTCTTGGCTTATTGGCTATGACTCTGTGTTACTTTAGTAGTTTAAGGGTTTAGAATATACTTCTATAATTATCACAGTCTAAGTTCAAGCAATATACCACTTCACATAATGTATAAAAATCCTACAACAGGATACTTCCATTATTCTTCCCTTGGCCTTTAAGATATTATACTCATAGTTTTCTTCTACATAAAAATTAAACTCCTAATATATTGTTGTCATTTTCACCTTAACATATTGATTGCCTTTTTTTTAGATATGCAAATTGTAAGAAAAAAACTCTTTACCCACATTCTTACCATGTCCTTTATTTTTATTCCTTTGTGTAAATCAAATTTATATCTGGAAGTTCTCTTTCTGACTAAAGGACTTGATTTAACATTTCTCATACATCAAGTCCACTGGTAATAAATTCTTATAATTTTTGTAATTTTGAAACAATCTTTATTTTACCCTCATTTTTGAAAGATATTATCATTAAACAAAGAATTCTAAGTTATTTCTTTTGCTATTTTAAAGATGCTCCACTTCTGTTGCTCTGGGTTCGTGTGTGTGTGTGTGTGTGTGTGTGTGTGTGGTTTTTTTTTTCTGATAAGAAATATGATATCAGGCTTTCCTTCATCCCCATCCCCTATACATACTGAGTCATATTTCTCTGGGCTGCTTTAATCTTTTTATCACTGGTTTTCAGCAGTTTTATTATTATGGGCATTGGTACATTTCCTCACATTTTTTGTGCTTGACATTTATTGACTTTCTTGC